CCATCATCACCATCATCACCATCATCATCATCATCATCATCATCATCATCATCATAATCATCCTCATCATCGTCGTCATCATCATCATCATCATCACCGTCATCATCGGGACACCGACGGGACACCGGCGGGACACCGGCGGGACGCCGCGGGCCACCGGACGCCCGGGGCACAATCATTTGGTCCGGCCGCGCCTCAGCCACAGGAGACTTTCCTGACACCGCCGGGACACCGCGGGCCACAGCACGCCCGGGGCACAATCATTTGGTCCGGCCGCGCCTCAGCCACAGGAGACTTTCCTCTCGCCCGCCCACGCAGCTTCGCCTCGCCCGCACTCACGGCACGCACGAACACGAAACCGAAACCGATTTCCCGGTAGGGGGGCTCTCCGTTCCACTTCGATCTCACCCCTTCACCTCCGATATATATATATATATATATATATATATATATATACACATGCGCCCATGAATTCATGCATTTATATGTATATATGCGCACTTAAACATCGATGTACATTTACTACAAATGCACATATGCATGCACATATAAGAAAACATGTTCGTAAACAAAGGTCTATCAACACACATAAATACATACAAACATGCACGCGCTCCCCGAACAGTGGTTGCACTTGGGGGTTCTTACTTGGCTCAACCATCTCGGGGTGAGTGGCGGCGTTTGCGGGAGGTGCCACCCGTCGCCGCCGTCGCCGTCGCCGTCGCCGCCGCTCGGGCCGAGTTGCCGTTTTCGCTGGCGGTGCCGCCCATCGCCGCCCGTCGCCGCCGTCAACATGTTCATGGAATTATGCCGAAAAGGGCTTCTCGCGCCGCGCGACGACATCACTCGCGCGCCCTTGCGCGCGTGCTGGGGAGTGGGCGCGATCCGTTTCAAATAGTGCCACGCGGGCCACTCTCGCGCGTCGGCCGCGCGCGCATGTCGAACTCTTTCCAAAACATTCGTCGCCGACGCGAAGGCGCCGTCGTCGTCGCCAGCGCGAGCAGCATCCGCGCCGTCACTGGCCGCGGTCGACGCTGTCAGCATCGTCGCCAACATCGCTGATATCATCGCCGCGTATACAATTGTCGACATGGCCATGATACCGCGCCCAGAAAACTCGCCGATTCGCACTGAAGTGCCCGCTGGGATGTGCCCAGCGGTCAGCGCCACCGCGGCTGCGTCAGTCGCGCCAATGCGCAGCGCCAAGCACTCATTGCAATCGCCGCAGCATGGGGTTTGCAAACCCAATTGCGGGTGGGCGGGTGAGATGTTTGCGCGAACAGTGGAGTGGGCAACTCACTGCGAACAGAAAACCATTGCATTAGATAGGTTGCACCGCGTAAATTATCCCTTCAATGACAAAACGGATCTACCACCCACCCACCCCTGACGTTAAATGTTCACCTTTTCGCGTCGCAATTTACCTATGGTTCTGACATCCATCCTACCCGTGAATGCATGCTATCCCAGCTAGGCCGGCATCGCCCGCCCCCCGCCATCCTTTTTGCAACAAGCCGTTATGCGCGCGAACTCACGCATCACAAGTCATAAGTTTGGAAGAATCCCTTGCCTGGCAAAAAATGAGACGAACTGCGCGCGCGTCTCGTCGCACGCGCATGCCGAGATCCTTCAAAAACTTGTCGGTTTCGGAAGCATTGCAAAATCGAATGCCCAACCAACATATGAAAACACCTGGCTTCTTCTTCGCAGCGCGGATGTTCAAAAGAAGCTTGTACGGGCGCTCTTGCGAATTCTTAAGAAATCATGCGATGTTTCCCACAATTGTCCGAACATTGGACCAAACGAGCTTCGCGCGCGCATGTCGAAATCGCTCGAACGCCCTTGCGCGCGTCTGGGTGGGCGGGGTGGGTGGGCGCGACCCGCGTTAAATAATAGCGCGTGGGCCACTTTTGCGCGACTGCCACGCGCGCATTTCGAACTCCTTTCAAAACCTTCATCGCCGACGCGACGACGCCGAGCGGTCAGCGCCACCGCGTTCGAGTCGGTCGCGCCAAACGAGCTGGCCGCTGCGCGCGCGAGCGTGCGCGGGCTAGCGCGGCCGCAAAGATGCACCAGCCAACACCAAGAACTCCTCGCAATCGCCGCCGCATGGGGTTTGGAAACCAAGCTGCGGGCGGGTGGGCGGGATCTCTGCGCGAGCAGTCGAGTGGGCGACTCGCTGCGAAGATCAATTAATTGAACCGCATAGATTGTACCGCGTAGATTGCATTACGCAGCTTGCGTCGCATGCATTCTCCTTTCCATATAGGAAATCTACCCCCCCCGGACTTAACGATCCACCTTTTCGCATTGCCGGCATCGCCCACCCCCGCCATCTTCTGCACAAAAATTCGCGCGCGCAGTCGTTTATCAACCATGATAAGTTTTCAAGAATCCCTTGCCATACAACAAATAAAACGAAGTGCACGCGCGCGCGTCGTCGCGCGCGCATGCCGAAGTCCTCCAAAAGACCCTCGGTTTCGAAACAACGCCAAGATCGAGTGTCCAACAAACATTTTTTCAGGAAAACATGGTTTCACAATGCGGAATTTCGAAAAAGAGAAAATAACGCGCGCGCGCTGTTCCGAACTCTTCAAATCCACCGGCGAATCAACATTAACAACGCATACTATCAAACGGAATTCGCGCGCGCATGCCGAAATCGTGCGAATGCCCTTGCGCACGTGCCGCAGCGAGATGTTTTGCAACAGCAATGACACTAGATGCGCGCGCGCGTCGTCGCGCGCGCAGACCGAAATCTTTCAAAAACTTGCGTTGTCGGAAGGATTGCGAAAACGAGTGTCCAAACAAAAACTTATAGCAACAGTAGGCTTCGCAACAGCACTTGTCAAAAACGTGCGCTCGCGCTCCTGCGCTTTCTGAAAACAGCCACAGTTGTTTTTTCCAAGATGTTCATAAAATTCTGCCCAAAGGGCCCCCTCGCGCCGCATGCCGACATCATTCGCACGCCCGTGCGCGCGTGCTGGGTGGGAGAGCGCGATCCGCGTTAAATAATAGCACGTGACACTTTCGCGCGTCGGCAGCGCGCGCATTTCGAATTCCAAAACCTTCATCGCCGACGCGAGGGCGCCGTCACTGACCGTGGTCGTCGCTGTCAGCATCGCCACCAACATCGCTACTATCACCACCGTGTGTACCGATGTCGGCGTTGCCATCATACCGCGCCCGCCAACATGGCCGAGTCGCATTGAAAAGCCCGCTGGGATGTGCCCAGCGGTCGGCGCCACCGCGTTCGCGTCGGTTGCGCCAGAGTGCATGCGCGCGCGCGTGCATGCGCGGGCAATCGCGGCCGCAGTGATGCACCAGCCAGCGCCAAGCACTCATCGCAATCGCCGCCGCATGGGGCTTGAAAGCCAAGTTGCGGATGGGTGGGTGGGATCTTTGCCCGAGCAGTGGAGTGGACAACTTCATGCTGAGTGTTGGATTATTGCACTGCGTAGATTGCACCGCCTAGACTGCAATAACCTACTGTTTGGGGTCCGCGCTGGCTAACCTATATATATATATATATAAACGTATGTGGGTGTGTGAGCTTGCTTGCCTGCAATTGCTTTCACCGCCTCCAGCCCTTGCACAGCGTGGTGAAATTGAAGGGAGGGGGGGGAGGATGTCGGATACAGTAGGCAGACATAGGTTTCCCTTGTCGACACGAGCTCGAACCGACTCTGCTTTACCACAAGGGCTGCATCACACCTGCCGCGAGAGAACAAATATGCACAGGCACACAAGCCCAACAATACACATACTGCATGGAGGAAACATGACCAGAACTGTTCGAAGGAGGGGTGACCGTCTCGGGGACCTCCTCCTGCACCTGCTGCTGATCCTCATGCACCTCCTCCTCCGCCTCGTCCTCCTCCTCCTCCTCCTCCTCCTCCTCCTCTTCCCCGTCCTAGTCATTCCCTTCACCACTTCGTCGTTTAACACTTCCTCCATTTCATTCTCCTAGACGTCATCCGCAGGTGCCCGGAGGCCTCCGAAGTCCGAAAACACATCCCCCGAGCCTCGATCTTCAACTCTGGATCCTCGATTCTCTTCGACCAGCGATCCCATCCTTGACCGTTGGATCCCATCCTCCTTCCTCCCTTCCTCAACCACCGATCGCCCAGACGCAGGACTCCGTGTCGCTCGAGCCTGTGACGCGAACAGCCCACTGTCATGCTAACTCCTCCACGCCTCTCCTCTTCCTGCTGCTGCTGCTGCTGCCCCTCTGAACCGACAGTCCTGGCATTCCTGGGAAGGACTACCAAGACATGCTCTTAGAACACAGTAAATCATGAACATCGTTCTCACCATGAGAAGCAATATTCTTGGAACGGAACGCCGGTAAAATAAGAAGACTGTCTCAGACAGACAAATTCATTGAACACTCAGTGCAAATCACACCTGGCAAAACAACATGTTAGACCATTCTTTGGTGGGCCCATGGGCAAGTCGGGACGGTCCGCCACTGCTCGATCCTCCTCCGCCACTGCTCCGCCACTGCGTAGCGAGGCCGAGGGGGCTGCTCACAGACGGCCTCTGGAGGTGGGCCCGGCTGGCCCCATCAGGCCCCCAGGGTCGCCTGGGGCAGTGGAGGCATCTCCGCGCTGTCGGGTGGCGCCGACGCGGGGCCCCGCGGCCCTGGGGCGAGGCTCCGAGGCCGCCGCGGGCTCCCTCGGTGCCCGAGAACCGTGTGGTGATGCACCGCGCCGTAACCTCGGAATCCCCAACGACGTCACCGCGCGGTCCGTCACCGCAAGGTTTTCGGGCCCTGGAGGCCCCAGTCGCCCGAGACGTCCGCGGAGAGCGACTCAAGTCCCAAAACCGGCCCGTGACCCCGAATCCAAGCTGACTCACCACGCGGCGTAGTTACCACATCATATGGGGGGCCCAGAACTACCCTGGGGGGCCTCCTGCTGCAAGCCAGGACTGCCTCCTGGGCTGTGTTGCGCAACCTCAGGCGTTGCCATGCACACACGCCCGTGACCGCTGGGCGCCTCAAGGTCCGGATGCGCTCATTCGCGGCGTCGATCTTCTGGTTGGCCTCATCTGTGCAATGTGCACTGGCTACTCATGTGGTGTTTTAAGAAACATGAACGGCAGAAGCCTGGAATGTGTCTTTGGGGATGGCTGTGCCCTCGCCCCTTCCTCGTCATCATGATTAAACTGCACTTCATCCTTATCATCCTGCACATGCCTTGCCCCCGCTACCACTCTCACTTTGCAGAATGTCCCGCATGGTAAAGCAACGAAGCAATGGGGCCGAGTGTGGAATGGAGCTGAGAGGCGCGAGACATGGGATGAGAGAGAGAGAGAGAAAGAGAAAGCGAGAGAGAGAGAGAGGGAGAGCAAGAGAGAGAGAAAGAGGGAACCACATCAACAAATGCACGAGGAGTGGTGGACGAGATGGGGGGTAGTGAGAGAGATACAGAAGGAGAAAACGAGAGAGGGAGAGAAAGGAACAAGGAAGGAGAGACGGATAGCCCAACTGTAGGAGGCGACCCGACTCACTGTCTCAAATCCAACATTCATCTCTGTTTTGAGCAGACTAACGCACGAATGTGGGCACGCATTGGCTCATACGAATTACTGCCCCACTGCCAAGGAGGACAAGTGCGCGACTTTGCACAGCGCGTGCACTACCGACCCTTTGCTCATACGCTGGCCAGCGACTGTGAAGCAATAAGGGAGCCCCAAGCCTCGAGGCTGACTTTCGCCGACTCTTCGCGAAGGCGTTCTACCTGCAGCTGCCAATCTGCTATTCCTTGTTTTCCTCTGTCTCCCGCTCGCTCTCTCTCTCTCTCTCTATCCCCCCTCTCTCTCTTGTCTCTCTCCCTCTGTCTTTTTTCCTCCTTCTCTCTCTCTCGCACACCCTAAGGAAGCGCCAACGGTCCCGCAGGCCGAAGCTCTCCTCTCGAGACGCGCCCACCAGGACGCAATCGAAATTTCTTGGCTTCCCTCGCTTGACGTCCTCTCTTCCCTGTGCCGTTTGCACTGTAGACGCGTTATCATGTTTGACTTCTCCCTGTCCTCGTTTGCTCCTTCCTTTGAAGCTGGCCTTCGTCGCCTCCTCGCGAATGCATCTACCTGACGCCTGCAAGTCTTAGCAAGACTTCAAATGCTTCCTGCTCCTCCTGCTCATCGTCGTGGTTGACGTCGTCGTCATACTTGTCATTGTCGTGGTTCTCGTCTTCGTCCTCGTCTTTTTCATCGTCTTGCTCCTGCTCATCATGCGTTTATTCTCATGCTGTTCCTCCCGCCCATCTTCTTCATTCGCCTGCAAATCCGGCTTTTCCTTCTCATCCTGGTCCTCCTCCTCCTCCTCCTCCTCCTCCTCCTCCTCCTCTTGGTCCTTCAAACCGTCCAGCTTCCCCCTCTTCCTCGCCCAGAACGAATCCCGATTACGCGGCACAATGTACGAACAGACGGGGCCATCCTGCCAGATGGCAAACAAGCTCTCCCAAACGCCCTTCCCGCTGCCCCAGAACTTGAGCAGAGACCGACCGTCCTGGCATCCCTATGGTTCTACCACGAATGTTCTTAGAACGCAAAAATGTTCTAAGAACAAAAACAGTGTTCTTAGAACAAAAACCCGGACTGTTAAAACAGGACAGCCCCAGCCAGAAATGTTCTGAGAACATTTCGTGGAAACCGCAAAAGGTTCTAACAGCATTGTTTGGTAGGACTATAAGCGAGCCATGACGCTTCGCCACTGCTTGAAGTGCAGCGGGAAGACGGGAGGACTCAGGCGCACAGGAGGCGGCCAGAAAACGTACAGGGCATGTCCTGGCGTGAGGGCCAGGCGGAGGCCGGCCGCTGGAGGCAGGTGCGGAGGGACAGCGTGCCCGGCCACAGGAGAGCCAAGCGATGGACAGACTCGCGGCCGCAGTGTGCAGGCAGCTCTCGCCCAGACCTGCGAGGTCATGTGTATCCAGCCCGGGGTGGATGGAGGAGAAGTGGAAGACAGGGATGAGGATGCGGTAAGTGTGGGAGGGGGAATTAGATGACTTGGACCGGAAGCTCTTACAATGACGAAGGTCTTGGGGGGAAGAACTCGCCGAAAGTGGATAAGCCATTGCGGTGCCGTTCCGCTCCTCGATGAGAAGCGCGGGGCGACCTGGTGACAGTACAGGAAGCCATGTTCCATCCTCCAGCAGGGCTCCTGCAGCACCCTGGGAGGAGGGAGTTCCTGCAGATCTTTCTGCCCAGACAGCTCCCACTCAATCAATATGGCCCTTGTCCTTGAGATCCTTCAAGATCATGAGTCCCGTGGCTGACAGCAGCTCAGGCGGGCAGTCGGACGAGACCCACCTCAGCTCCTCTATCTCCTCGCTCGGTCTGGCCTCGCCGCAAAACTCGGCGGTGTAGCAGGTCATCCGGACCATTGTGCCCTCTGGTTTGCCGTGCGCCTGCGCAAGAAACACACCGTACTTCTGGACGCTCGAAACTATCAGATCCACCGCCAGCTCCTCCTTGCACTCACGAACCAGGGCCTGCACGTCACTCTCACCCTTCTCCCGCTTGCCGCCAGGGGTAAAAAACGCCTTCTTGCCCCGCGTACGCGCCACCAGCTGTTTCCGGTCCTTTACGTACACCAGCGCCAATTTGTCGATGAACGTGGCTGGTTGGCGCAAGTGCACGACGTAATAATATGCAGCGGCAGCTGCCGCGGCAGTGCCCGCAGCGATTGCAAGGGGACGCATCGCGTTCATTGGGGCGGTCTCCCCCTCCTGTGGTCCACCTCCCCCTCCTCTCGGGCAGCTCGCTCGAGCAAACACGGCAACGAGTGGCTCCAGTGCTCCAGCACCGCAGCAAAATCCGCGCGGAGGCACACCACGGACGCCGCCATGGTCCCACGCCTGCGCCTCGCCCTCATCTCACGTCTGTGCCCCCATCACGCTTCCTCGCGCGGACTGCCTCACAGAATTGCTTGTCGGGCAACCTTCGGAACTAGACAAATGGCGCCCCAGCGAGATCTCGTCAGAAGCACGCGGAACATATCTCACTCGTTGTCGCGTGGCCGAGCCAAGCCCTCTGCGTCCGTGCTCTGCCGAACCTGACCCCCTTCAACTCGGCACGAGGTCGCTTCGACGGGGTGTCGCCTCAACGGGACTTTCGTTTCGCTCAGGTTCGCCTCGCCAAAAGCCCGCTTCGCAGAGGCCCGCTCAGGACGCCCGGGAGGGGGGGAGGAGCAGCGGGCGGACAAGGCGGTGCGAGGGCGGCCCCAAATGTGGGCGGACGGTCGCCCTTCCAGCGATGATGGCGCTCAGGACGAGCCGGGCACCCCCGGAGCGCCTTCGGCGAGGCGCGGCTGCTGAAGGCACCCCGAAATTGGAACACCGCTGACGTCCGGCCACGCCTCCCCGTCTGCAGCCTCCGTGGGTGGGCGGGGCAGGCGGGCGCCCCTCGGGCGGAGGGCCGGCGGGGCGGGCGACTCCTCCTCCTCCTCCTCCTCCTCCTCCTCCTCCTCCTCCTCCTCCTCCTCCTCCTCCTCCTCCAGCCTCGAGGGCGGGACGGGCGCCGGGCTCCAACGGAGGGCGGGCGGGCACGCGGAGCGGGCGGGCGGGCGGTGTCGGAGGCGGCAGGTGCGGGCGGGCCCCGGGTGGGCCCGAAGACGGTGTCTGAGGCGGGCGTGGCGGGCGAGGCGGGCGAGGCGAGCGCGGCGAGCGTGGCGGGCGTTTTTTTTGCCAGCGCATCTTGTGGAGAAGGGGAGGGGAAGGGGAAACGGAAGAGGACGCGGGCAGCGGATGATCAACGTCCCTCAAAACTCACCTCAATGCAGTGTCGTAATCCTCGCATGAGCGCACGCTCCGCGGCAATATGCCCAACGCGCATGCTGAAATGTGGCGGGGGGCTCTTTAGCCCTCACCTTTTTCTAAAGCAGCGGAAGGAGTACCCGGTGGCAGAGGGCAGAGAGATGACGCGACCGACGGACGAGCGACGGACCGCAGACGGGGACAACCGCAGATCCTCGTCCATTCCTTGTCCTCATAATGACTCCTCCCTGTCGCACCCCCCATTCGTGTCCATATGGCGGGCCGGACGTTTCGCCTGACACTTCATCATCCGTTATTTTGTAACAGTGTCACGGATGGGCGTGTCGCTGTCAAATTGTGGCTCTGACGCGTCGCGCTCAGTCGTCTTGAGCTTGCAAAACTTCCGCGGATGCAGGGCAGGCCGTTTTTCAAATGTGGCTCTCCCGCAGCACTGTACATATTCGTTTGCAAATGTGTAGAGAACGGTGTTTCTTACATGGGATGTGTTTTGATTTGTATTTTTTATTATACATGGCCGTAGACTCGGAATCAACGCATCTCCCACGAGCGCGCTGTACACACAAAACACAAACATGTCCGATACGTAATCAAAATTGTGCCCATGCGCGGAGGATGCGGCAACATGGTCGCTCACGGCCTCCGATGAGCAATTGCGCGCGCACCGTAATACATATGACATCAGTAAGTAATCTATATATATATATATATACATATGTGTGTACATATACATATATCGGAAGTTGGGGGGTGAGATCGAAGTGGAACGGAGAGCCCCCCTACCGGGAAATCGATTTCAGTTTCGTGTTCGTGCATGCCGTGCGGGCGAGGCGAAGCTGCGTGGGCGGGCGAGAGAAAGTCTCCTGTGGCTGAGGCGCGGCCGGACCAAATGACTCCCTTCCGGGCGGCTGGGGCCCCGCGGTGTCCCGCCGGTGTCCCGCTGGTGTCCCGTGTGGCTGAGGCGCGGCCGGACCAAATGATTCCCTTCCGGGCGGCCGGGGCCCCGCGGTGTCCCGCCGGTGTCCCGCTGGTGTCCCGTGTGGCTGAGGCGCGGCCGGACGAAATGATTCCCTTCCGGGGCACAGGGCGACCGCCGTCCACAGGCAGGGCCGAATGGTACCAAGGCGCCAAAGAGCGAAGGGTGACGTAAACAACTCCACACCAACGCTCCCAAGAGCGAGCGGCAACGCCACTATCTCCACTGGCATTGTCACAACAACATTCACCACTGTTGCCCATTGCTGGGCCCCTTCCCCCCCAACCTCCTTATCACCCGCAGGGTGGTCGTATAGGTGTATATATATATATATATACATATGCATACTAGAACCATCGCGCGCGCTTCGCTCGCGCTCAGGTTCTAGCCCAGGCCAGGGGGGCGCTGGACGATCTTGGACAGCGCTATCAAGCACAGGCGCGCGACGGCATCTGAGGAGCTTCTCGGGTGTTCCGCATGCTTCGTCAACTTGCTGTTGGAGGCACCTCTTGGTTGCTTCTTGGGGGGGCGTCTGAGGGTCCCTTGGGGGCATCGGTTCTGCAATCTGAAGCCGTCATTGGCCATCTTGGCTGCGTGGAGGCCCGACTGGAGGCCACCTGCGGCCAGATTGAGGCAGTCCGGAAGCCTCCCAGGGGGCCTCCTCGAAGCAGTTTTGACGCATCGAGGGCACTCTTGGGCTATTTTACAGCCTCTTGGGCGTCTTCAGGTGCCTTTTAGGCCCTCGGGAAGCTCTTGGGGTCCTCGTCGGACCACTTGGGGGGCCGCTTGCAGCCTCCTCTGGGCCTTTGGGGGGGAACGCTCTGCTGTTGGGTCGCGTTACGTTCCCCTTCTTGGGCCTCTCTTGGGGCTCTTGGGGCCCTCTCGGGCCGTCTTGGGCGCCTCAAGCGCCGTCTTGGGGCCCTCGCGGGCCGTCTTGGGGCCCTCTTGGAGGCCTCTTCCTCTATATTGGAGCGGTATCGGAAGCCTCTTG